GGAATCAATTTTGATCTTGAACCTTGCATAAACAATCAGAAAAATATATTAGTAGCACTGCACAAAACAAAATCTAAATAAGAGTAAAATAAAAATAATTAAAAAACTTAAAATAAAACGAGTTATTCAAAATAAAATTAAGCCTTTTCAAATGTTTGGTTTAAAAGAACAATTCTATAAATAAAAATTTGTTGGGAATTTAATCATATTAATGACAATTAGGCATTGCTTGGAAATATGTCACCATTGATACACATCGTGTATTTGCCCTATGTTAATTTATCATTGATTACGACGATTTAATTTAGTTGATTAATTTCTATTCTTTAATGTATAATTTACTATTCTACACTACAATATTCTACACTACAATTCTCTAATCCCTTAGATGAGTCGGATAATTAAAATAAATAATATTTAATATATTAAAAAAAATTTAAGTCACAACTTATAATTTTTTTATCTATATTTTTAAATTTTATATATATATATATATATATATATATATATATATATATATATATATATATATATATATATATATATATATATATATATATATATATATATATATATATATATATATATATATATATATATATATATATATATATATATATATATATATATATATATGGATCTATATTAGTATTTTTTGACATTTATCCTTTGTGTAATCGATTTAGTTATTAAATAATCACTCATTAACAAGTCTTTTTAAATATTCATCCCTTATCTAATCGATTTAGCGATTAAATAATCATTCATTAACAGGTTTTTTTAAATTTAAAATGTAATCTTCATCATCTTATCATAAATCGTTTAAATCTTTACCTCAAAGACTGCTAAATTGACTTTGACTTTTACATACTTAATACATATTGATACGTTGAGGGGTCAAAATAATTATTTTAAAATAATAACAATTGTTAAATATTAATATTTAATACTATGTGATAATTAATACAATATGACGATAGTTAAATATTAATATTTAATAGTATTTTTCCAAAAAAAAAAATTTTAATTTTATATTTATAATAAATTAAATTATTCCCGAACTAAATTAATTACTCATGTGACTTTATTTTTTTCATAAAGAAAAACCAGTGACCTTATTTTTCAATTTTTTCACTAATAATCTAAAGACATGTAAATAAGATTAAATCTATAATAACTTGAAATCACTAATAAGAAATTTTCACCCAAATAACCAATATTACCCCCCCTAATATCCAAACTACCCTACTTTCTCTCATATTTCCCAATCTACCCAACTTTAGTATTTTTTTTTTTAATTACAAGGGAGCGCCGTGGGGTATGGCTCCTCCCTTATAATTTATATGGGGGCACCATCCAGGATGGAGGCACCCTATAAATTATAAAGGGAGCGCCATCCCCTTTGACTCCTCCCTTAAATCCGAATTTTTAAAATAATTTTAAATGTATAATTAGTTTAAAAATATTTAATAAATAATATTTAATAATTAAAAAATATTTAAAAAATAATAATTATATAATAATAATTTCTGAATAATTTTTATATATTTTATAAATAATAAATAAATAATAATTAATAAAGGGGAGCCATACCCCATGACGCCTCCCTTATGTTTTTAATAATATTAAATTTGTGGCCATTTCATCTATATATATATACATTCAAGACAAAATATTATACATCTCATTGTATCCTAACACATCCCTTAAACTATCATTCAACTATGTCTAGAACAACAAATTATATTGTTCATACCCATTTTAATGGAGAGACTTTCATCTCTGAGAATTCGGGTTTTGGGTTTCAAAATACAGATGTTACCCGATTAACAATGAGTAGAAAAACAAATTTTGTGCATTTCAAAGAGCGCATACAGTCGAAGATATTGTCTGGTTAAATCTCTCAGATCATTTACAGAAGTCCTGTTTTTTTTTACAACAATCAGGTCAAGTATTTTCAAGAGAAAATACAAGACGACAGCGATGTTGATCAAATGTTTGATAGTCATGAACACTCTGGGTTCGACTATATCGAAGTTTATCTGTTACTCTGCCAAACTGAACATGAGGTTGGCGAAACAACGGATATAGATGAAATTGATATTGTGGACGAAGAGGAAGAAGATCCAGAGGCCATGGTTGATCAAATGGTTAATTTGTTCGGGACTAGGGACTACACTGCAATGACTCCCCTGCAAGACATAGATGAAGAGGCCCTACCATTAAATCAAGTGTATTGTCCTCCCCAACACATGACGAACTTGCAATTCAGTGGAGACGATACTTCCTCAAATTATTTCTACAATCCTTCTTAACAAATTGAAGGTGTCTTGAAAGTCGGAAACCAGTACCGCACAAAAGAGGAGTGCATGAAAGCCATAAGAAAGTTTCATATGGATAACTCTGTTGATTTTTACATCAATCAGAACGACTCAAAACGATATGTCGTAGTTTGTCGTAACGAAGGTTGTAAGTTTCGATTAGCAGCGTCCTATCGAAAAAGAAGTGATTGTTGGGTGATTGGTTCGATGGATCCACCTCATACTTGCACAACCAACATCAATCGGCAAGATCATGGAAAGCTAAGCTCTGAATTGATATCACAAGAGATTTTGCATCTTGTGGGCGTTGATCCATCTGTGAAGGTGAGCACAATCATCTCTCATGTGGTTGCACGGTTCAACTATACCCCATCGTATAGGAAAGCTTGGATAGGTAGAATAAAAGCGGTGGAACATGTATATGGGAATTGGGAGCATTCTTACCATCAACTTCCACAGTATCTACTAGCACTTCAAAAATATGTTCCTGGTACGGTTGTAATATTGGAGTCACTACCAGCATACACTCCTGAAGGAACATGTGTTGATGGAAGTAGGATATTTTCTCGTCTCTTTTGGGCATTTCAACCATGTATCAAAGGTTTTGCGTTCTGCAAACCAGTTATACAAGTCGATGGAACATGGTTGTATGGAAAATACAAAGGAACATTGTTGATGGCGGTTGCACAAGACGGAAATAATAATATATTTCTGATTGCCTTTGCCCTGGTCGAGGGTGAGACAGGCGAAGCTTGGAGTTTCTTCCTCAGAAATCTCAGAACACATGTCGCACCTCAACCCAACTTATGTCTGATTTCTGACAGACATGCTTCTATTGTGAGCGCCAACAACAATCCTGCTAATGGTTGGCACAATCCTCCTTCTGTCCATGTCTTTTGCATAAGACACATTGCTCAGAATTTTATGCGGGAAATTAAAGACAGAAATCTCCGTAAAAAAGTTGTGAACGCTGGGTATGCCTTAAACCAACCATCGTTCATGTATTACCGAGAAGAAATAAGTTTGTCAAGCGCGGAAGCATTAAGGTGGGTGGATAACATTCCAGTCGAGAAATGGACAAGGTCATTTGATGGAGGTTGCAGATGGGGTCACATGACCACAAATCTTGTAGAATCCCTAAACGGCGTATTTAAGGGAACTAGGAACCTCCCCATCACTGCGTTGGTAAGGGCAACGTGTTACAGATTGGGGTCACTTTTTGCGGCAAAAGGCAAAAAATAGAGCGTTGTACTGCAATCAGGGCAAATATTCAGCGAATCAAGCATGAAGTATATGAGGGATGAAACTTCTAAGGCGGCCTCACATCGAGTTAGACCATTTGATCGTCACGATTACAACTTCATTGTTGATGAGACAATGAATCACAACGAGGGTCGGCCAATGGGACACTACAGGGTAGAACTTCATAAAAATTGGTGCGACTGCGAAAAGTTTCAAACCTTCCGCATGCCTTGTTCACATGTCATTCCCGCATGTTCAACTGCTCGTCAGGATCCATTCTTGCAGCTATCAGAAGTTTACAAGGTCGTGAAATTATTCAGTATCTACAGTAACAGTTTTCCAGTGGTAGCTAGTGAGGACTATTGGCCAACCTATCATGGAGACACAATCTACCACAACGAAAATATGAGAAGAAACAAAAAGGGCCGCCCCAAAAGCACTCGAATTACAACTGAAATGGATACAACTGAGAAAATGGAAAGATTGTGCGGAATATGTCGTCTTCCCGGGCATACGAGGAAAAACTGTCCAAATGTTGGAACAAGTTCTAGGTAGATTTAATTTGGTCATTAAAAATTGTGTAACCGTGGAATTTAATATTTATATCAACTTTTCATTACCACAAAAACGAATTGAAATACTTCTACAGCAACAATGCAAATCATTAAAAATACAACGATTATTACAACATAAACTAAGATATAACAACAATCAAAGTAATATCATCAGTTCCGAACATCATAGACCTAACTTCGTTGTCATCTCTAATTCGCACTCAGTCCCGCCGTATGTTTCTGTCTTCAACAGAGAAGTACGAGACAAGTCTTTCAATACTCCTAATTCTTTCACCATTTGGAATGTCTCCTTCTAGCCACCGATTCAAATTTCTTCGTAGTTGTTCTAAACTCTGGATGTTCCAAAACAACATCCTTATCGGAGGCTTCGTCGGTGAAAAAATTACATGCTCATATCTTCTAAGGTACATGACTCACTCTTCTAAATTTGGATGAAACAATGTTAACAACAAGTCTACCTATTTATAAAAAAAAAATTGGAATAACATAATATTAAATTTTAATTATATTAATTATAATATATTTGAAAAATTATATTCGTTTAAAGGGAGCTCCATAGGGGATGGCGCCCCCCTTTAAGTCATTTAAGGGAGGAGGCAAAGGGGATGGCGCCCCCTTTATAATTTATAGGGTGCCTCCATCCTGGATGGCGCCCCCATATAAATTATAAGGGAGGAGCCATACCCCACGACGCCCCCTGTAATAAAAAAAATATACGAAAGTTAGGTAGATTGAAAAATATGAGAGAAAGTAGAGTAGTTTGGATATTAGGGGGGGTAATGTTGATTATTTGGGTGGAAATTTCCACTAATAAACTTGACAAAAACACATGTAATTAATTACAATAAGTACAATTAGTCTTCTAAACCAAATAAGAGCAATCTTCCCCTTCTCCCCTAAGAACCCTCTGTTGCTTAGCAATAAAAGCTTCTACAGTCCTACGAAACTCCTCATTACTCATCTCATCCTCTGGATACGAAATCCTCATAACCATTTCCTCTTCACCACCACCACCACCTTCAATACTTTTCCTTCCCTTGTTGTTCTCACTCTCACACCTACGCAACACACGACGTCGTTTCTTCAATACCTCACTCTCACACCTCCTATAACAATAACCCTTCTTCACCCCTCTTTTTACTTTCTCCTCCTCCACTACCCTGTTACCACCTTCTGTACTACAATCGTTTTTTCTTATTTGTTCTTTTTCTTTTCGGACAAACTTTTCGTAAATATCATCCTGCTCTGTTTCTTCGTGAACGTTTTTGCCTAAACCCTGAACGAATAGCGTTATTATTATAACGTTTCCGATGAGGAAAACGAAACAAGGACTATTCATAAAGACCGAAAAGTCCTTTAGATACTCGCTTGAGTTTCTTACTACAACTGGTAGCTTCATAGAAAGCCGTGAAATCAACACCAAAACGACACACGCTTCAACGAGACGTAACAACGTTGTTACCCTTTGGAGTTTCCTATGTTTTAGGATTGCGTTTGTTTTCTCTGCTTGGAGATTAAAACTGAACGACTCCATTTTTTTAATTGTGTTTGTGTGTGATTCTTTATCAAGGTGCAGGAGAAACTATGTATTTGAAAGAAGAGAATAGAGAAGGTGAAACTGAAACTGAATCAGTTTGTAAAATTTGGAGCATGGAAAATGAGTTTTTGAATTGGATGTGAGCATAGAAATTTTTTACCAACTATGAACTCTGTTTCGGAACAGAGAAGAAAACAGAATGATTATGTTTAATTTTTTGTGTTACTAGGTAGGAAGTAATGTTATTACTCTTGACATTTATTTATAGTCTAAGAATCTGACTATTTTGGAATATTTTCTATTATCTGACTCACTAAATTGTCAGCACTCATAAGTGAGAATCAGGTCCTAATACAAGTTGTTATAAGGTTTTAAAAAACCTTCATTTCAAAACCGTCGCGACAAAATAACATTTGATATTGATATTAATATTGTTACTCATTGTTTTTACTATGAAAACGATAATGTAGTTAGTTCACACGACGACCACAATTAATATTACAACTTAGTAACTAAAATTGTAAAATTCTTTATGCGACTACAATGCGACCGCGACACTTAAAACTTTCTAAGCCAGTAAGTTTGTTTCAAATTATCTGTTAGAAAAGTTAAAAACTATATTGTCGTTAATGGAGATAAATGCTTGTCTCAAATCTAGATTCTAGAGAATAAAACAACTCATAAGTGTAACATCAATGTCTCAAGTATAAGCACTTGAAACAAGCGTGTTTCTAAAGACTCTGCAGATTTTTTATGGGAATATAAAAAGCATATACAAAAGGAATAGTTTTAAAATAAAAACTATTGCTTATTGGTGGCTTGCTATCTATCTATTTATCCAAATTTTGGGTATCTTTCTTTAGACTCTGACTTAATACTCGTATATAAACTCTTAGAGGAAATTGAAAGTTTCACTATCGAAGCTACGCTTCAACGAGATTTGATTTTTTTTCTCTTGCAATTAGCATACTCTTCAATGTTGTGAAATTTATAATTCAAATTTCTTGGTAGTTGAATACCATAATGTGGTAGTCGGATACCAAATTGTGGTTCCCGGAAATCAATGTGAAAATTTTGTTTTTATTAATTAGTTAGTTGAAATTAGTGTATGCAATGTTGTATATATATTTTCTTTGATTTGATTGTGTTTCTTGTTCTAACATTTGGCCTTAAAAGTCTAACTCTTTAATCTAGTGCATGATGACATCAATCTTAAATGAATAAATTGTAAATATTTTAATCTTGATGTGAAGAATTATGATAAGTTATGAAAGCATATGAAGGTAGCTTTTGGTTATCAAGATTGTTGTTCCTTTTGTATTGTTTGTACTATGTAAAATAACAATAGAGATTTCAAATTGTTTTAGAGTAGAATGACACGTGTAGGAACTGATGTCATTGCATGGGTGCATCATTTGTCCCTTGTCTGTAGAACAAGGTTGTTTTTAGGTGTGCGCGTTTTTCAGTTATCTGGAATGTATTTTTTGATGTGTGCAACAAATATTGTTGCTATCTTTTAGAATTTTGATTTATTTGATTAATTAATTAGATTAAATTTAAATCAATGTGATTTAAATTTGAATTCTAATCAAATAAAATCTTATTTTGTGGAGTTGATTTGGAGCAACAAATCTCAACAAAATTTTCACTATTTCTGGACGAAATCAAATCATTATCCAAAGGAAAAAGACCCATAATAGATTGCTATAAATAAAAACTCTGTCATAACTTAAAGACCACGAAGCAGTAGAGAAAGTTTAGTGTCTTAGGCTGAGTATGTTTCTTGTATTCCACGCTAATGCCATAACTGGATTAATGTTGAATCTTTGATGGTTTGTCTCAATTGAGTTGTAAATTCAACAATCAATAGACTTATTATTGAGTTTGATCACTAAGGTTTAGTGGTTGAAGAAAGTGAGTGTGTTCTCATATTTAGACAAATACCTAAATAGAATGTTACTAGGATTAGAGAGAGGCATATAACTTCATAAGGGTTTAAGGTACTTATAAGACTAATTGCTCTAATTCGAAGTAGTGAATTTTATTTCTTTGATAGAGTCTCCCCATACGTAGGTGTGGTTTCACCGAATATGATTAGCAATCTCTTATGTCATTTTACAGCTTCTTGCATTGTTTATTATTGCTACATCATTGTTGTGAATTCGTTCTTAAACTATTTTAAAAAGTTGAACAAGTTATATCATCATCTACTACAACATTTATTCCTTGAAGAACATAATTTCAATTGACATTAAAGCAGACACCTATTTTGTTTGGGTGAGCTCTAGGAAGATATTTTTTATTCAAATGGACAACATTAAGGATGAAAGGTATATCAATAGACTGCCTGTTTAAGATGACACCAATTATGATTATTGGAAAGCTAAAATGGTTGCCTTTCTCAAATCTATAAACAACAAAACTTAGAAGATTGTGATTAAAGGGTGGTAACATCCTATGATTACTTCTCAAGATGGTTATACAAGTTTGAAGCTTGAAGCTGAATAGACTGATGCATAAGATAATGAATCACTTGGAAACTCCAAGGCTTTGAATGTTATTTTCAATCGTGTTTACTTGAACTTGTTTAGATTGATCAATACATGTAATGAAGCTAAAGATGCTTGAGAGAAAATCAAAACTGCCAATGAAGGCACCTACATGGTTAAAATGTCAGGGTTGCAGCTTCTCACTACAGAGTTTGATAATTTGAGAATGGATGAAGATGAATATATCTCTGATTTCATCGTCAGACTTAGAGACATTGCCAACAATTCACTTTCCTTAGGAGAGAAGATGTCAAAAGAGAAACTGGTCATAAAAATCTTCAGATCTTTGCCTAAAAAGTTTTACATGAAGGTAACTGCTATTGAAGAATCCCAAGACTTTAGCACATTGAAGGTTGATGAACTCATTGGATCTCTTCAAACCTCTGAAGTGTCTATAAATGGAAGATCAGAAAAGAAAAACAAAGGTCATGATGAAAGGAATAGTGAAAAGGCATATAAAATGATATAACTTATATTGGAAGAAAGTTTAACAACTCCTTAAGAATATTGGATATATATTGGAGGACAAATGTGCAAGGTAAAGAGTCATACATTTGTCCCCAACACAAGAACAAAGAGGAAGACTATTCTCAAAGAAAAGGACCAAAATATTTTGAACGCACTACATTTCTTTGGTCACGTCAAATCTGAATGCACTACATTTTTGAAGATATAAAAAAAGGGATTGACCATTACTTAATATGAGTCTGATGATAAAAGTGAAGGAGAAACTACCTACAAGGTTATGAATTTCACTAGAAAGTATGAGTTTAAAGAAGACTCTAGTGATGAAGACATGACAGAAAAAGAACTGGTTACAACACTTAGACTCTTGTACACCAAGTGAGGGGAAGCCATCTAAATTGTGGAAAAGCATAAAGAAACCATTAGTATGCTTTAGAAGGAAAAAAAAGAGAATCTTGTCTTAACCATCACAAGATTGGAAGATGAAATCTCTTTATTGAATGTTAAACTTGAAAGTATACCAAAATTTGCACCAATGATGAACAACATTTCAGATAGGCTCGATAATGTCTTGGAAGGAAACATGAAGGTTGTAGGGTTTGACTACAGCTCCATGAACAAAAAGATCAAAGTCCATTTAAACAAGAGGATTGAGTTTCAGAAGGTGGACCACATGCCTTAACATCATGCTCATCATGTGTACCCTTATAATGATGGTATCAAGAGATTATCTAGAAGATGTCATCATTGTGGACCCTTTTTCTACAGACTATATGGTTATCCTCAGTTTTATACTCAGACAAGGCCTAAAAGGAAGGAATGGAAGAAAGCTCTTGCTAATCAAGTGTTGGAAGCTCAAGGAAACTGACAAGTGTCTTTTAGCTTATGTGTCTCCTAGAGTCTTTTCAAGAGAGGTTTGGTATTTTGACAATGGATGTTCATGACACATGACTGGTGAAAGGAGCTATATTGAAGAACTTAAAACATACTCTTAGAGTTATGTTACACTTGGTGATGGAACTAGAGGAAAGATGAATAAGAAAACTGGTTTATCCAAGTCTCTTTAGTCTTGATAAGGCTCTTATAGCATCAGGCGTTACTGCAAACTTGATCAGCATAAGTCAGTTATGTGATGAGGATTTGAATGTGGAATTTAATAAGTCTGAATGTAGTGTCTCCAAAAAAGATCATGAAGTGATAATGAAGGGGTCTTTGTCTAAGGAAAATTGTTATACATGGAACAAAAGTTATCCCTCAACAAGATTGGAAGATGAGACCAAAATACTATAGAACAAGATGTCGCACACGATGATCCAACATCATACCTCATCTATAAGTCTGGGGTATCTGCACATGGGAAACACATAAGAAATAAATAAAATCCTATGTGTTAAGGATGGTGATGAAGATCTCATGATTGGCAAGATTTATGGAAATTCAGATCAAATGTTAGGACATTTTATCCCACATATGAAGCCTAAATTTATCAAGAAGATGATCTCTACAGCTCTTAAGTGTTAAGTAATTCCTAAAAGTAAGAATGAGTCCAAAAAAAAGGGCTCCGTAGACATTTGTATGAGGATATTAACTCAAGGAAGGCGTGAAGATTTAAAAGAAAATTTTCTCTCTCATATGTTCATTGAAGCACTTAAGTTGAGAAAAATATTGTCGAATTTAAACTCTTCTCACAACCACTCCTTCCCCTTTACAACCAGTTTCTCTATACCTATTGTGCTAGCACATCTACTTCCTTTCTTGTTCATCAAAATCCTCAATCTTGTACCAAAATGAGTGAGAAAGTAATGTCAAAGAGATTTAGGGTTTTATCTAACAACGACACTGATGATAATACCATCATGTAGTTGGACCCAAAACCTCCGAAGATGATTGTTCTAGTTGATATTTCAACAAAATAATCAAATAATATTGCTACCTAAAGAAAGACCTCATCTGAAAAGGTTAAAAAGGCAAACCATCTTTGAA